TTAGACACAGAGTCTCTGGTTTAATTCCTAGGTCCTTGATCCATTTTGTGAGACTGTGTCTCTGAAAAAAAAAAAAAAAGACAGAATGCTGAGGATGTAGCTCAGTGGTAAAATGTCCTTGGGTTCTATTCCCTGTACCAATACCGCCTCTCCCCCCCCCCCACATGCACATGCAATGCGGGAGGAGATAATCATAATTGTTAAGAAAAATGAAACATTTTTACTTTATTTTTTCATTAACTTTATCTTTAGGTTAATGAAGGGAAAAGCAAAAAGAAAAAAAAAGGAAAAACAAGAAAATGGTGGAGGATGTTAAAATTTTGCAGATTCGGTAGGTACAGTCTTATTGGAACTCCTTTATCATAGCCTGATAATCTGGCTGCTAGCCTTCTTTAGCCCCTCACTTTGTCTAATCAGAGGCTGAACCAGGAGACATACTAGTCTGGTTGAGAAGTTTCTTGTTGCATCTAGGTGGGAATCAACTCCTTAATTTTTCCTGGACATTATATTAACTGCAGGGAGTTTTTACTTAAGACTGTTTCAAATAGGGCTTCTGTGTTGGTAGAAATTCACCAAACCTCAAGAAACAAAAAAAAGTGAGTTATGAAATTAGGGGTTTATTATTTTTAGTTATTCATATCTGGAAGCAGGAAATCCAGGGTTGATACTGGGGCTTCATGAAGTCCCTAAGATTCTCCTATGTCTGCATTCAGTAATTCTTACCATGTTCTTAGGGTCTCACGATCACAATATACTTGCTCTACCCTCCACCATTATGTTTCTGGGCAGGAAGAAGGGCAAGAAAAAAACATTTAATCACCTAAGTCCATGCTCCTTTTCAGGAGATGTCCCAGAAGTTCTAGCCACTGACTTTTGCTTGTATTGCATTGGCCATAACAGTGTGAAATGGCCATTCACGGGTACAACAGGAGCTGGAATTGACATTTTTGGATTGGCACATTGCCACCCTGAGAAAAAATTAAGGTTCTGTTAATAAAGAAGGGTAAATGGATATTTAATAATCAACCAGCAGTGACTGCTACATTCCATACCATTTTATCCAAGTTAATGTGCCTTCTGAGTGAGCAAACCAAGTTTTGGGTAACAGAGTATATATTCTGGGAATTCTTTTCTCCTCAATGCATCCACAAAGACACATATATGATTTTTATATTGGTATTTAATATTATGTAAATTATAATTTGTTAATATAGAACATTGAATTTATTTTATCCATAGATGCATTTTTTTTTGCAATTATTCATTCAGCTTCTTCTAATGGCCAGACTTAGTTTCACAGATGCCTTAAATTCAGCATGTTCAGTGTCTTTATGTCCCAAACTTCTATCTCCTCTTTGTTTGCTCACCTTACTGAACATACTTGCCTGGGACAGAAACCTGGGAGTTGCTCCTGAATCATGTTCCTTCCCACCCACAACAATTTGATGTTAGAGTTTTGTCCAAATAGTGTACTGAATATTCTCAAATATGTCCCCTCTGTCTAATCCATTGCCACTTTTTAGGTTTACCTAGTTTTTAGCGTTGTTGTTATGCCACTAATATTTGACTCTTAGATTTCTTCCATAGCAGTATATTCCAGGATCTGAAAATAATTGGTAAATTTAAAATTACCACCAATAATAATATTGTGTTTCTATTTGGATGACATTTAAAAAATATAAGCAATTGTGAATTATCTGAAGTCTGCCTTAGAACTGAGTATTGACAATTGATTTCAGTACCTGCCTATACATGTGTGTTTTCATTGTATCAATGGGAAATTTAATATGCAAAATTTCACAATTGCAAGAGCTATAAGTGTAAGATACTTCCACCTAGCTGTAGGTTTGTATATATCTATGCTAAAAGTATCTAAGTGGCACTTGAGGTCTATGAAAACTTTTAAAGAATTTTCCTGTGTTGGACACTGTTCATTGTTGAGATTAACATTTATTGCTTGGGAAATATTAATGCTGGTCATCTAATTGTGAAGATCAAATTCTCCTGCCTGCCCAAAGTAGTTCTCATTAGTTGAAGATGTTAGTGATTTTACACAAACATTGACATTTTATCATATAGTAATTTTAACAGGGTCTAAACTTGAGACAGTATCTTTTATAAGGAAGATCTATGGTCTTCCTTTAGTCAAAACAGGGAGTTCATTAGAAACATTGTTGTCACCAATATCACACCATTGAGAGCCTGTCATGTGCTGGATGTGGCCCACCTAACAACTCAGTGCTCATACATGCAGGTACAGAAAGGTTAAGAACCTGCCTCAAATCACACAGGTTTAGCAGCAGGACCAGGATGTCCACCTGATAGTCTGGCTCCTGAGGGCATGCACCTCATTTGCATACTTCACTTCCTCTCAGGATTCTATTTCCCAGGCAAGCCGATTTCTCCTAATTGTTGCAGAATATTCATCCCCCAGGGGTGTCAATTTATGATCTATATCCTTCTTTCCTGAATAAAACTAATAAAGCTCTGTCTGTATAAATGACCTGTGTAAATGTCTCTTGGCATGATGGCTCATGAGGAAATAGAAATTATATTTTGCAGTCCTTGTCTGGTTTCCTCAGTAATGGATTATGTCTACAGGATATGAATTCAATCGGTTGAAAAAGTGAAAGAATCATCATTAATAATGATACAACTGACATCATATGGCTCCTGATGTGATACATTGAGAAGGACACAGCATCACCTATGTGATAGTACTGCTAAAAATGTTTCACCTGAATGTAATCATGAGGAAACAATCAGACAAATACACATCAAAGGACATTCTACAGAGCAACTGGCTGGGACCCATCAGAGGCATCAATGTCATGAAAGACAAAAAGGCTGAGGAACTCTTAAGATTGATGCAAATGACAGGGACAGAACAAAAAAATGCAATGCATGATCTTTGTTTTTTAAAATCTTGAATCAGGGGAGAAAACAAATATAAAGGACACTTTTGTGACAAATGGGAGATTTTGAATATGTGCTGCATGTTAGATAATGTTAAATTTTTGGAGTGATAATTATATAATAGTTTTATATAAGACTGTCTTTTTTTTTCTTGAGAAATAAATAATGCAAAAAAACAAATAATCTATGTTTATTGTACATATATGTTTGCATAATACAAAGTTAGCAAAATGTTAGCAATTACTAAATTTAGATAAATTATAAATTTATCTAAATTTAGATAAATTATAAATGAATGATTATTGTACTATTTCCCCAACTTTTCTGAAAGCTTGAGATATCTATTTATCTATTTATATGATTAAAAATCAAGCAAGATTAATCCAGTGTTGGCTGTTGCTGAATCTTCATGTTGAGTACAAAGGGATTCATTATGTTATTTTTAGATATTCAAGATTTGCCCCAAAAATAGATTTAAAAAGGGAATGATTTGGATTTTATGATGCTGATTTCAATAGCTGTTCCATAAGAAGGATAGAGGGTTTCTCTTTCTGTATCTCATAACCACTTACATTACTCCTATTCAGCTCCAGCTACCATTTTCTCTTGACTAGACCCTGGCCCCATCCCACTGCATTTCTAAACTGGAAGCCAAATTGATTTTTAAAAAATGCAAAATTCTAGGCCTTGCCCCCAAACTCTTCAGGGTCTGCCAATTGTATTTGGAGGAAACCTTTTACCACCCAAGTTCAGCTTGAGTCCTCCATATTCTGCAGCTTTTTTCACTGGTTTACCAGCTCATGGATCCTTAGTGCTTCTTCATTATTTACTACCACTTTTCATGGGCTTCTTTCCTGGCTTATCTGCCTAGGATAAAGCCCCAGTATGGTGGGCAAAAATTTCCATGGTAATATTCCCATGGGAATTATAATTCTCTAGGATTGAATTAATACTTTGCTCTCACTGGGTTGCTAGCTATTTGATATCTATTTTGTTCACTGTTGGGTCAATAGTAGGTACTTGTAATATATATATATATATATATATATATATATATATAT